AATAAAATTGCAAGGAGAAATAGATAAATTCACTGTCAATACCCCTTTATTATAAATGGACAGATTTAGCAGGCAAAATATCAATAAAAACAATGAACTGAATACAATTGACATCTATACACTACAACAGAATACACATATCATATTCAACTAATTTATGGGTCCCACATTTAAATAGTACAGGGGTCAGCAAACTACCCCCATGGGATAAATCTGGCCTGCCACCCATTTTTGACCAGCCTGCAAAACTAGGAATGGTTTTACAAGTTTTTAATCATGAAAAAAATCAAAGGAATAATATTTTTTGATGTAAAAATTAAAGTTCGAATTTCACTGTTCATAAATAAATTTTCATTGACTCACTGCCATACTCATTTGTTCATATATTGTTTACAGCTGCTTCTGTGTTTCAAAGGCACAACAGAATAGTTTTGACAGAGATCATATGACGTGCAAACGCTCACATGAAAAATTAGCCAACTTCTGTTTTAACACAACACAAACAGAATCAGCAACCTGAGAAATCATACTAACACTATGGATTTAAAAGCTTTCTTCTGGATCAATAGCTCAATGTCTGTTATGTCTAGAAATTTCAGCTATAACAGTTGTTTTTTAAAAATGAGAGAATATACTTTTTTCCCCCCAATTCAATCTATGATACTTTTAGCATCTTTTTCACTAGGTTAGCCAAACACGTACAAAGTTTCATTTAACACATGGCACCTAGTTCATACCCTAATTTACTTTGTTTTTCTTTTTTTAAAAAATATATGTCTCCCCCCCCCCCCCCATTGACCTCTCCCTGGCCACTCCCATCCCCCAACCTATGCCCTCACCCCCCTAGTGTCTGTGTCCATTGGTTACGCTTATATGCATGCATACAAGTCCTTTGGTTGATCTCTTACCCCCCCTCCCCATATGCTAATTTACATGTGGGATTGTAGGGAGGTATTGGAGAAGGTGGAGAGATGTGAAATAGGAAGAAAGACAGTAACTCTTGAAATAGTATCCCTTCAGGTTAAATGAGGGACCACATTTTCTTCTGGCAGAGCGTAAAGCTACCCTCAGCTCAACTGGAAGTTGTAATCCTCTTTGTGAGGGTGCTCACCGACATAGCTACTGGCTGGAGACCCACCAGCCCACAGTAACTACTGCAGTTCTTAGATGTACCCACAGCCGGGCATAAGCAACAATATACATAACCTTTGTTCACAACAGTTGATAATAGCTCCTGCTCCTAACCCTTTAGGAGGGCAAAGGAGCCTCACACCAGGCGCGCTCAGTGGGTTTGGTTAGAGAGAACATGTGAGAGCGACCTGTCTCCCCACTGGAGCCGGTTCCCTCGACAGTCCCTCACCCATCCTCTCTGTGTCCCTCTGGGGTGTAATATGTGGAAGATGACAACATTTCTACAGAGGTATGATTTCATTTCATCTGTGAAACAAATATTCTTATCCTCTGTCACCTCAATAATATAAATCAATTTATAGTCTACTTCTTCAAAAGAGGGATTTAAAATGCCTACTTGAGTAAGGAATGTATAGCTACTGAAGTGATTTCTGAAGCATGACATTTCTGTCATTATCTCAGTGAGCTGAATAGACTGAATTAGCTCATTCAGCAAACACATTTAGTCTATACTTACATACAGTACTAGATGCCCTGAGAAACACAAAGGTTACAATATTATGGATGATTAAGACCGTTGGTAGTATCTCATAAGAGTATTAAGAATGACATAAAGTAGCCCTGGCCAGTGTAGCTCACTTGGTTGGAGCATCATCTCATACACCAAAAGGTGGTGGGTTTGATTCTGGTCAGGGCACATACCCACGTTGTGGGTTCAATCCCCAGTTGGGGCACAAATGGGAGGCAACCGATCGATGTTTTTCACATCGATATTTTTCTCCCTCTTTCTCTCTTCCTTACTCTATTATCAATTAAAAATAAATAACATAAAAGAATAGTGGGCTTTGAATATATCCAAAAAAGAAGAAGAATGACACAAAGTACTATAGGGGTTCAAAGGAGAACAATGTTCCAGTTACTTTTATTGTGAAAGACTTCATGGAGTCTCATTTACAGTGGAGCTTAAAGAATTGTAGGATTTGGAAAGATGATCAGTGAGCACGTCAGTCTAGGCCAGTGGTCGGCAAACTGTGACTCGCAAGCCACATGCGGCTCTTTGGCCCCTTGAGTGTGGCTCTTCCACAAAATACCAACTTCTGCACATGGGCCACAAAGTTTCAATCGCACTGTATGTGCACGCCCGAACGTGGTATTTTGTGGAAGAGCCACACTCAACGGGCCAAAGAGCCGCATGTGGCTCGCGAGCCACAGTTTGCTGACCACTGGTCTAGGCTGAGAAGATTGGAAAAGAGGGGCACAGAAGTATGAAAGGTAATTTGTGTTTTAGGAATGGTCAGTAGTCTCATTTGATTGGACAATGAGATAAATTGCTTATTATGGGCAAGAACTTTTAAACAGTCCATAGGAATTATTTAAGAATATTATCTTTGTTTTTAAATGATGAAACTGTGGCTTAGAGAGGTTATTTGTCCCAGCTACTTACATGGTTAGAAAATGGTAAAGCAGGATTGGACTTCAGCGGTTTGGCTAAAGAGTCTCTACATGTAACGCTTGGATCATAGCTGCCTTCACCAAGGAGATACGTGAAATAAAGTAAAAAAGTTAGATTTGGTGTGAACCCGAGACAGTGGTGAATGTGATCAATGGTTGCCTAAGAAGGCTGAGCTTCATTTGAGAGGTAATAGGGATCTTTAAAAGAAGCAGGAAAAGAAGAGAGTTTGGGGCCAGGAACAGAAACAATCAGAAGAGAGTTTAAAGTATCATTAGGTATCATTTTAAAAAATGGGTTAGAACTAGGCTAAATTAAGAGCCAGTGGAGACTAGTTAGTAATTTACTGGAGTGACATAGGTAGGCTCTCACACAGAAATAGGACTAGTGGACAGAGAGGATTGATGGGATGCTTTAATGATGTGAAGATGATCATGTTTTCCCGCTACTACATAGTCACAAATAATTAAAACAAGTATAAAATTTTGGCATTCTGGCCATGAAATTTTAATTAATATTATTAATTAAATTGATTTGATAAAGTTCTCTATCATCTATCTATCTATCTATCTATCTATCTATCTATCTATCTATCTATCTATCTATCTATCTATCTATAAAGTCAGCCACTGAAACGCTAGAACTACCGGAATGACAGGTTGCTATGATGCCCACTGCAGCCAATGAACTGGCCTGATCAGGGGGTGGGGCCAGCCAGCCAACCTCCTGTGGCTCCTCCCACCAGCTGCTCCACCCCGATCAGTTTGTCCACCCCAAACAGCCCGCAGCCCCTCCCCCTGGCCGGCCCCACCCCTGACACCCCCCCACCCGAATAGGGGATGGGGCCAGCTAGCCAACCTCCTGCAGCCCCTCCCCTCAGCAGGTCCTGCCCAGATGGGCCTCTACCACCCCGATCAGGGGCAGGGCCAGCCGGCCAACCTCCTGCAGCCCCTCTCCCCAGCCAGCCCTGCCCCCAAAAGGCCCCCATCACCCCAATGGGCCTGCAGCCCCTCTCCCCAGCCAGCCCTGCCCCCAAAAGGCCCCCATCACCCCAATGGGCCTGCAGCCCCTCTCCCCAGCCAGCCCTGCCCCCAAAAGGCCCCCATCACCCCAATGGGCCTGCAGCCCCTCTCCCCAGCCAGCTCCACTCCCAATGGGCCCCAACCACCCAATTGGCCCACAGCCTCTCACCCCAGTCAGTTCTGCCCCCTATCAGCACCCCCCCTCCCCCCACACTCTGATCAGGGGCAGGGCTGGCTGGCCAACCACCCATGGCCCTCCCCACAGCTGGCCCAACCCACAATAGCCCCCCCACCTCAATTGGGGGCAGGGCCCACCAGCCAATTGCCTGCAGCCCCTCCCCCCAGCCAGCCCAGCCCCGATTGGGGCCGGGCCAGCCGGCCAACCTCCCGCCATCTCCTCCTCCTGACCGGCCTGGATTCGCGGATTGGGGCCAGGCAGGCAGGACCCCACCTGTGCACGAATTCATGCATGGGCCTCTAGTAGTTTCATAATGTTACAAATAAAAGGAAGCTGGTAGAGATTATGCAAAGCAAAGTTGTCACCAGATGTTCTTTCTTTAAACTTTCCTCATTTCCTTCTTTTTTCCTTTTCATTCTTCCTCACTTTCCTTCCTTCTCTGCTCCTTCATTCCCTTCATTCTTCCCTTTGTGTTTCTCTGGTACTGTCTATTATTCTTTCTGGCTGGCAACATAGCAGAAAACTATGTCTATACTAATAAAAGGGTAGTATGTTAATTAGGGCAGAAATATTCGGACTTCCTTCTGAACAAAGCTGCAGCAGCTGCCTGAGGCTCACGCAAGCTGCGGTTGGCCAGCCAGAGGCTCAGGCAAGCCACGGATGGTGGCTGCCGCTGTGAGAGCTGGCCTGAGGCTCAGACAAGCCACGCACGGCTGCAAAGTCCGAGGCTCAGGCAGCCATGGTGGCCACCAGTGGCAGCAGCAGCAGGATGATGGGGGCAGCGCCTTCCTGATCAGTGGGATTGGGGCTAAACCAGCAGTTGGACATCCTCTGAAGGGTCCCAGATTGGAGAGGGTGCAGGCTGGGCTGAGGGACCCCCCCCCCCCCGCACAAATTTCATGCACCGGGCCTCTAGTTGATATATATATAATAGCCATTATCTTACACAAAATTTTTTCAAGTTTCAGTAGCAAAAATACATTATTTTAAGTATAGGGAAATTGTTAGAACTGCAGCATAGGCAAGCTTGTCCACAGAAACACTTGGTAAGATTATTTTAGTTTGCTTTTTACATATATGTCTACTTTTCACCTTGAACTGTAATAGGGAAATGCCTAGAACGGTGCCTGGTGCAAAGCAAGTAGAGCAAATGTAAGCAAAGTTTTACAGAATAATTTTAATGTAAATACATAGAAAAGTACTTTCTACAGAACCACATCAACTTTCAATGTCGTTACATTCACACTGTGTTCCAGCTGTCCTCTGTATTCAGATGTATTTTTCCCATCTCTTCTTTTTTTGAAGCCATTTTCTTTGTAAATGATAAGCCATTTTTTTTTCTCTAAAAGTGTTGTTTCTAAGACATTAAAGAAAATATATTGGTTAACATTAACTTGCTATTTAGAAATGCAAAACAAATATTTATAATATGACAATATATTAGAAATGAATAGTCATTCCTGTCTTGTGATTTGTGAGGTTACTCTGAGTATAAATTTGGGAGGGTAGTTAGTAAGGGGTAAATTTCCATTTGTGGTTAAACAGGATGAATATACGTATTTAACACATTGATGCAATTTACCTCACTGCACACACTCAGGGAACTAGTCCAGTTTCAGATCAGAAAGGGTCTCTTAATCCACAGCTGTCCTGGGAAGATGAGGGAATTTCTAAATCACCTTCAGTTGGAGGATGTCTGAGTGACTTAACCACAGTCACACAGGCACACCATAGGGAAACATGATATAATACATGAAATGTGACTTTCCTTTGTGAATCTCAGGACTAATATTGATCCTGGATGTACCAGAAAGGATATCACTGCACAGAGCAAGAACCCCAGATCTCCTCAGAGCTCAACCTGTGGGTCGCAAACAATGAAAATACATCCTGCATATCAGATATTTAAATTACAATTCATAAAAGTAGCAAAATTACAGTTATGAAGTAGCAACAAAAATGATTTTATGGTTGGAGGTCACCACAACATGAGGAACTGTATTAAAGGGTCACAGCATTAGGAAGGTTGAGAACCACTGCTTCAGAGGGTTCCTTAGCATATTCAGCAAGAGAATGGATCCATACATGCATGTGAAAAACTACCCAAGGCCACAGAGAGGCCCATCCTAAAGGATTAGAGAGAACAGTGCCCCTCACCCACCTGTCATGTCTATTCTCAACCACCCTGGATAAATTTTAGTCACCATGCATTGGGTAGAGTATTAAAATGGGGAATAACTAGTCCCAGATGAAACATGGTTCTGGCTCCACCTAACAAATGTTAAAAAGCAAGACCTATAATAATCAAACTGCTTCTAAATAAATTACCTATATCTCAGGAAAAAGCTAAAAACATTTATAAGCACATAAAAATACTCAGCACCCAGCAAGTAACATTCATGGTATCTGGCATCCAATCAAATACTACTAAGCATATAAAGAAGCAGGGAAATATGGCCCATTAAATGACTAAATCAATCAAAATTGATCCAGAAATGACACAAATGATAGAATTAAAAGAACATTAACATAGATGACATAATTGCATTCCACATATTCACAAGGCAAAGAAGAGACATGAAAAATATAAAAAGGACCAAAATAAGTTTTTTAAATGTAAGACAGTAATACTGTGAATACATTAACGACATAGTAGACAATTCAAAAGAAGAGATCAATTAATGTCTGTTGAGAAACAGAAACCATCCAAAGGAAAAGACTAAGAGAAACAAAATTACAAATGAAGAGAGTATCAGTGAGATGCGGGACAACATCAAGCAGCCTAATATGTCTGTAGAGAGGAGAGAGGGGATAAAAAAGTATTTGATAATACTGTTTATCATCACTGCTTCTATTCTACTTTATACTGGAGGTTCTAGTCCATGCAATCAGGCAAGAAAAGAAATACAAAAAGAAGAGAATTTGAAGAGAAGAAATAAAACTACCTTTATTTATAGATAATATGGTCATTTGTGTAGAATATCAATTGGTATCTGGAAAAAAACTACTAGAGCTATTAAATGATTTTTAATAATTCAGAATACAAGATAGATACAAAAATTGCTTTTCTATATATATATTAACATCTATTTTGGAAAAAAAAAGTTGTAATAGTAAAAATTATGAAATTCCTAGGGATGAATATATCAAAAAGATGTGTAAGGCTTGTACACTGTAAATTCATAACATTGATAAGAAAAGTTAAGGATACCTAAATAGATGGAGATACATATTTGATTCATGAGTTGGAAAACTCAGTATTATCAAGAGATCAACTGATTCCAAACTGATCTATAGAGTCAACACAATTCCAATAAAAAATTCAGCAATATTTCTTGGTAGAAACTGACAAGCTGATTCTAAAATTTATATGGATATGTTAAAGGGCTTAGATTAGCCAAAACAATTTTAAACATGAAGAACAAACTAGAAAGACTAGTACTATTTATTTAAAGAATGATAAAACATACAATAACCAAGAGAGTAAATTAGACATATAAGTCAAAGAACAAAAAAGAGTTAAAAAATAGACTTACTTTTGACAAAGACGCAAAGGCAAAAACCTTTCCAAGATTTTTGAAACTCTAATTTAAGCTCATCATAAAAAATACATACAATGTCAAATCTGAAAGAAAAGATATAAAAATATTGATAAGCACACACAAATGAATTGAAAGCTTCTTGTAGTAAAACATGATGTAAGATAACCCTATACAATAAAAGCCTAATATGCAAATTGACCGAACAGTGGAACGACCAGATGCTATGATGCGCACTGACTACCAGCGGGCAGATGCTCAGTGCAGGAGCTTCCCCCTGGTGGTCAGTGCACTCCCACAGGGGGATCATGGCTGGTGAGCCCAGTGGCAGTGATGAGAGCCTCTCCCGCCTCTGCTGCAGGCAGGCAGGTAAGGAGTGAGGGGTCCCAGACTGCAAGAGCCCTGGACTGCGAGAGGGATGTTTGACTGCCAGCTTAGGCCTCATTCTCGGGGGTATAGGGCCTAAGCCAGCAGGAAGCCAATCCCCTGAGGATCCTGGACTGCAAGAGGGCACAGGCTGGGCTGAGGGACCCCTGCCCTCCAGTGCACGCATCTCATGCACCAGGCCTCTAGTTTAGAATAACTCCATTGGAAATATCAATACTTCAAATAGCTCTGCCATTAATATACCTTAAACAGCCTGTGGTGTTACCATGCCTCCCCATCAGTGGTCATGTCTAATGGGCACTCCCAGTCTAGAAGTTATCCATTGTACTGGTTGCCACTAAAATGGACTAGGACTCATTGAATAGGAATTAGCATCAGGCAAAAATTAGGGGGGAAACTTGGGGCATTATGTTGCTCTCCAAAGCAAAGATATTTTCAGAGATGTCCAGAAGCCAACTTGGGAGAAAACTCCCACTAAAAAAAAGTGGCGAAAAACCGAATTAATTACAATAAATTGAAATGAGCTGACCTTGCCATTTGATTAGTGAGTTCCTGCTAATACCAAAAGGAACATGTGACAAAAGTAGATTAAAAGACTACCATACATATTTGGATTTCCAATATTAAAAAAATTATGATTCAGCATTATATCAATGTAACCAAATTATGTAAATCTTACACTTAGTCTAGAAAATAAGCTACCTAAGATGTAAAAAATAAGCTACCTAAAATGATTATTTACAATTTTAGACCAACATTTATTGATACGGTAAATTGCCAATGTTATTTTAAAAAGTAATCTACCACACAGCCTATGGGGTATAGGAACATGGATTTATGTATTTACTGGAATACATAAACATTCATAGCAATATTATGCAAGTGTATGTGTGCTTGTGTGTGGGTGTTTGTACACCATAAAATTAATAGGATGGTGCTGGAATTACAAATGATTTCTCTTTCTCTTTAAACAGGTTTAGACTCTAAATCAGAAAATGTTATGTATTATTGAAAATTAAAAGCACTTACTCTAAGAGAAAAATCAGTTTTATCATTTTTTCTACAGGAATTACAAGTATAGTTTATAGTGTGAAATAAAGTAAAAAAAAAAAATAGTTATCTATAATAATAAAAGCATAACATGCTAATTAGACTGGACAGCCAAATGACCTTCCAGACATCATTCCGGATGTCCTTCATGACGACCTTCCAGACAAAGCCGGGGCTTCGAGGGCCGAGGCAAGCTGCCACCGCTGCGAGGGCCGATTGCGGAGCACCGGCCAGGTGGGCAAGGCTTCCCACTGTGCAGCATGGATTGCAGAGCCTCAGCAGGGTGGGCAGGGCCTCCCTGTGGGCAGCGATCAATGGCAGAGACCCAGCTGTGTGGGCAGGGAGGGAGGCCCAGGCTACCCAACCGGTGGTACTGCGGTGGGTGGGCAGGGCCTCCCTCTGTGGGGCATCGATCTGGGGCTCCTGTGACCCATCGCCCCACAGAGGGAGGCCCAGGCCACCAGCCAGCGATGCTGTGGTGGGTGGGTGGGGCGAGCCAGCTATCGACCCGCAGAAGCAGGCCCAGGCCAGCCAAGCAATCACATCCCATGCCTTTTGGCCCGCAGAGGGAGGTGACCGGTGGCAGAGTGGGGGTGGCGCTGCACAGATGACAAGCAGTGGCAGCGATGGGGGTGGGGACAGCTGCTGGCAGCCGGGGGAAGGAAAGCCCAGATAGGCCCCTCCCCACCAGCCCTGCCCCCAGTTGCCCCCCTCCCCCACTCCTGACCCTGACAGGAAGGAGGAGGGAGCCCGATTCCCTCCGTCCCTCCCCCGGCCAGTGTCATCTACAGAATATGTCTGAAGACCAACTACTGGCACAACATTCATCTGAAGCCGAAAGAAGCTGGCATTGCCGACACAATGTATCTGAAGACCAACTACTGGCACAATGTACCTCTGTAGCTGAAAGAAAGCAGCGTCAACAGAAAATGTCTGAAGACCAACTATTGCACAACGTACCTCCGAAGCCGAAAGAAGCCAGCATTGTTGACAGAATATGTCTGAAGAACAGCCATCGACTTGTACTACCAATACTGGTAGGAACTGCCTTCACAGCAAAAATGAAGCAAACGAGGATGCAATTATTGAACATAGTTGTGGTGGAATGACTGTTAGATGTCAATTTTGTCTATCACTAAATTTCTCCAGTGAAAAACCATCTGATGGAAAATTTACTCGATGTTGTAGCAAAGGGAAAGTTTGTTCAAATGATATATGTTTTCCAGAATACCTGGCATATTTAAAAACATTAATGATAAATGAAGATTCTGACAGTAAAAATATCATGGAAAATATTCATTCGATAAATAGTTCTTTTGCTTTTGCTTCAATGGATGCAAATATTGCACCACCATCAGGATATGGGCCATACTGTTTTAGAATACACGGACAAGTTTATCACCGTAGTGGAACTTTACATCCTTCGGATGGTGTTTCTCAAAAGTTTGCTCAACTCTATATTTTAGATATGGCCAAAGCGACCAGTAAAAGATTAGCAATGCCAGAAAACCAAGGTTGCTCAGAAAGACACATGATCAACATCAACAACCTCATGCATGAAATAAACGAATTAACAAAATTGTAAAAGATACTACATGAGATAGAAAAGGAAGCTCAATCTGAAGCCGCAATGAAAGGTATTGCTCCCATGGAAGTAACAATGGCGATTAAATATGATCATAATAGTGATCCAGGTAGATATAATTCTCCCCGTGTAACAGAGGTTGCTGTCATATTCAGAAACGAACATGTTGAACCTCCTTTTGAAGGGGCTTGCGCATTCATTGTAAACCAGATCCCAATAATCTGAATGCCACTAAAATGAAACAAATCAGTATCCTGTTTCCTACATTAGATGCAATGACATATCCTATTCTTTTTCCACATGGTGAAAAAGGCTGGGGAACAGATGTTGCATTAAGACTCAGAGACGACAGTGTAATTGACAATAATACTAGACAAAATGTAAGGGCACAAATGACACAAATGCAGTATTATGGATTTCATCTCTCCGTCCGGGACATGATCAATCCTATATTAAATGCAGGAAAATTAACTCAATAGTATATTGTCGATTTATATTCAAAAATGGAAGCCAATCAGATAAATTACATTAAAGCAAGCCAATCTAAGTTGAGAGTTGAAAAATATAGTGGTTTGATGGATTATCTCACATCTAAATCTGAAAATGACAATGTGCTGATTGGTAAAATTATAACACTTCCATCATCTTTTGAGGATAATCCCAGAAATATGTAGCAGCGATATCAGGATGCTATGGCAATTGTAATGAAGTATGGCAAGCCCGATTTATTAATAACCATGACATGCAACCCCAAATGGGCAGATATTACAATTTACAATGCTGGCAAAAAGTTGAAAACAGACCTGACTTCGTAGCCATAGTTTTTAATATTAAGCTGAATGCTCTTTTAAATGATAGATGTAAATTCCATTTATTTGACAAAGTAATACCTAAAATTCATGTCATTGAATTACAGAAACGTGGACTGCCTCACATGCACATATTGATATTAGATAGTGAATCCAAATTACGAACAGAAGATGACATTGACCGTGTAATTAAGCCAGAAATTTGAGATGAAGACCAGTGTCCTCAACTTTTCCAAATTGTAAAATCAAATATGGTACATGGACCATGTGGGATACAAAATCCAAAGAGTCCATGTATGGAAAATGGAAAATGTTCAAAGGGATATCTGAAAAAATTTCAAAATACAGCCATTGGAAATATTGATGGATATCCCAAAGACAAACGTAGACCTGGTAGCACCATATCTATTGGAAGTAAAATTGTTGATAATGCTTGGATTGTCCCTTACCCCTTGTCCCTTATAAGGCACACCCGTATTTGTGCCTTAAGTATAACTGTCATATGAATGTTGAAGTCTGCGTATCGATGAAAAGTGTCAAATATTTATTTAAATACATCTATAAAGGGCACGATTGTGCAAATATTCAAATTTCTGAAAAAAATATTATCAATCATGACGAAGTACAGGACTTCACTGACTCCAGGATGTGAGTGCTCCTGAGGCTGATTGGAGACTTTTTGCAATGCAAATGCATGACCAATCTCATGTAATCATAAGATTAGCTATTCATTTGCCAAATGAACAGAATTGTATTTTCATACGGACGATTTTGCTGAAGTTACAGATAGGGCTAAAAGATGTAACTCGACTTTGATGGCTGGTTCTTACTGAATAGAGAAGATTCTTATGCGCATAATTATTATTATTGGGAGATTCCACAACATTATGTGTTTAATAATTCTTTGTGGACAAAATGCCAAAAGAGTGGGAATAAACTATTAGGTAGACTGTTCACTGTGAGCTTTAGAGAACCAGAACAATATTACCCTAGACTTTTGCTTCGGCATGGAAAAGGTGCGATAAATTTTGATGATTTGCTTCTGCATAATAGGAGGTGTAATTTATGATACATTTTTTGAAGCTGCTAAACATCGAGGATTATTGATGACACTATCTGTAAAGATATGATTGACGATGCGATCATCCTTAATATGCCCAAACAACTACGGCAACTTTTTGCATACATATGTGTGTTTGAATGTCCTTCTGATGCAAATTATGAGATGAGAATAAATTTCATTTTATTGAAGATT